TTTATTTGTTTGTTAATTATGTGTTCTGCTGCTGATGTAAGGTACAACATAGCAGCTTACAAGTCCCTGAGAGAGCAGGAGTGATATGACCTGTCACTGGATGCCTTGTTTAATCATGACAATTTTTAATATGCAGTCTTTGATCACTTCCATGATTCATTTAGCATTTTTTATAGAAAAGTAATTCTGATTCAACAGATCTCTAACTGTCCTTAATAGTAATTCCATTATCAAACTGAAATAATTATTTGTCTAGAAAATGTTTACTTTCCTTAACAGTTATGAAATTGTAGCTCTTGAATTAAAAAACAAAACCACAACCAACCAACAACAACAAACAGAAAAAAACACCCCAAAATGGCAAATAAACACTCAAAAACAAAACCTGAAAAAGCAAATCCTGTCTTTTAATGATGTTTCTAATTGTGTGTAACATTTCAAGTAATCTCAATAAGGTATGGTTTTATTTCCATCTATTTTCTCAGGATCATAGACAATAGACATGGAAAAGATCTTGAAAGATCTGTTATCAAAGCATGGTTATCTGCCTAAGCCAGTCCTGACATTTGTTTTTCTTATTTGTTTTTAAAAAGTCCAAGAATGAAAATTACTTTACCTCCCTTAACATTTTTCCTCGGTGTGTATGACCAGACCCTAGCAGACAATGGTATTCTCATGTCTAACCTACATCTCGTTAGATGCAGTTTATATCCAGAATTTAACTCCAAGTAGACTTTAAAGACATTTAATCCCACTTTTCTTGGGATGGTTTTTTACAGTGTTCAAGGACTGTTTTCCAGGTACTCTCATCCATCCCCAGGGAAATGATTCTGTGGACTTAATTGGATAGTGGATTTTAGACCACTTTGCAGGCTTCTTTGGTTGCATCTATTATGTAGAACTATCCCTGGCCCTGGGTCTGTCTACTGCCTTGGACCTATGAGTTGTTCCACAGATTTTTAGTGATAAACATACAGATTTCTCTGCTTAATGTGGTATAACATCACCTAGTGAAGAGAGAAGGAGGAAGGAAACATTATGGCAAAGGAATTTGCAAAATACAGTGCACAAGAAGCACCATGGTAAACAGAACAGAGAAATCTTGTGGGGGCTTAGAAGTTAAAAAAAAAAAAAATTTGGACAATGCAGCTAGTAGCATGTCGGAACTGTACAAAAACTTACAACCTAAGAAGAGGAGATAAAGTAAATGGAGAATACTGGTATTTGGGAATCACAGTCTATTGTTGTTACCAATTGGTGATCTTTGCAAAAACAGAGAGAGAAAAGTGAAAATGGCAAAAGCGTGGGTAGCTGGCTCATGGAACAGAGTAGGCATGGCAGACTTGATAGGACAAAAGTAAAGTAGTAGAGGTGAGAGAAGGGATTCCATGGAAGAATGAACACACCACAGAGGAAACTGCATGGCTGCTATGGCAAATCAGGAAAGAGATTCTTCCTTGGGACATCCCTTGAGAAAGGCATGGACTCTCATTTGAACTTTGAAGTGAAAGGAAGGCACAAGAGCTCAAACACTGAATGTATAAAAAATACAACCTAGAGGTAAACAAAAATCTGAATAGAGACAGTAAGGAATGTTCCAAATCCTGAAGATCTGTAACATCATTAAAGAAGGTCTTTATAAATGAATTTGAATAAATAGTGTGTGAATAGCATAATTATAGAAAAATTAGATGATCAGTGGGACTTTGGGTAGCCTGCAGAACGTGGAGAGAGAAGGCAGGAGGGCCAGCAAGAAGGCAATTGCAGTAGTCCAAGCGTGAAATCGTAAAAGAAGAACTGCTTTCCTTATGGGATCTGCTGAGGTTACAGCCTGAGGTTGTATCTGTGTCCATGAATTAGATAAGGCAATAAAAACTTGCATTCCCTCCATCAAGATATTTCTTTTCTCAGATGTCTTTTCTAGTTAACTCTTCAGTGACAGTAAGTTCTGTCTAGCAATATTGGTTGATGTCCCCTCTTCATGTGCTTTTCCTCTGTTCTACGCAGTGGGTAGTTGAGATCAAGGGTTGGACTTTGCACACTGACAACTCATCCCATGTTTGTCAGTCAATTTCTTCTTTTTTTTTTAAATTCACCTTTTAGTATAGGAATAGTACAAGATTGACAGGACCATTTAGCTTTGTTTTAGCTCGATTTTCCACAGTCTGTGTCATCCATGAGTTTGAAACATAGGTTTAAGAATTGAGGATGAAATTTGCAGGGTTTTTTACATTGTCAATTGCTTTTCCCAGAAGATAATGGCAGAAAGTGCTGGGCAGGATTGTTACAAAGTAGTACAACTGAAGGACTGCTTTGCTTCTTGAAGGAAAAGAAATCATCTGAAAGAAAAATAGCTGTGAGGCTGAGCTGGAAATCTGAAGTGTAAATTCTGAATGGAAGGAACAAAGTTCAAGGCAGTACAAGGGCAATTTCACTTGCTAAAACCAGGATCTGTTAAGGTCTTGCCTCAGCAAAGTTGGCATCCAGCAGTCTGAGCAAACTTCTTTATTGATAAGTCACGGCCAAGAGAAAAGTGAACTCTCATTTTCCGCAGTGAACTTCTGCAATCTTTTCTTCCCCTGACCCCTGCAGTCTGCCCCAAATTAGTTTTCCTGTCCACGTTTTGGCTCTTTGTACATTGCTTCTGATGGCTGGGCTGCTCCTACCCCACCCTGCCAGAGGAGAACCACAGGTTGTGCCTGTCCCCCAGCTCTCACCTCTGCCACTGTGGACCACCTGTGCAACCACTGCCACCCCACCATGGAAAGCACTTCACCTACATTCCCTGGAGTTTTGCATTGGTCTATGGCATTGTATAAATGTTTTATTGTAATATAGATGATAATTTTGCTGAAAGCTTCTGGCTTCACAGGTGGTTAAGGGTTTTCTAGAGTTTTCACACAAAAGCTCCCAACTCTTTCTTTATTCTTTTTGATTCTGCTTCCCTTCCATCCTTATTATTGGATAGTCATGGGAACTTTCCTTATACTGCAAAAGAGGTGAATTTAATACAAAATGTGGTGTGGTGTAGTGTGGGCTACCAAGCTTCATGTTGTCTTTGTTTAAGAGGGGAGATGAAATGTTCTGTACATTTAAGAGGCTTTTAAAAGGACCTTTTGCGAGCAGTTGCTGTGTTTTGCTGGCAATTCTGCCAGACTTTCTGCTTCTGAGTAATTTTTGAATAAAACAAAAAAGAGAACTACTTATGGGATGCTAAACAAAAATCTACTTCAATACATAGCTCAACATGAAACTCTTTAAAAACAGCATTGAGCTGTCATTGATAGAAAACTTCACTTAAAT